CACTCATAGTTGGACAATATCAGGTTAAGCTGATCTGAGATAACAGGATGCAGATATTGTTAGAAAGAATTTACATATATGTGGTTGGCTAGTCACCAAACTCAGTACCTAATCCTACACTGGCCAATAATAATAGCTTTTATGCAAGTTATAACAAATCAATGGAACAATTACATGACATTTTTTCAAAAATAACTAAGCAGTGAAGAACAAACATAAATTGTTTCCATATTTATCTACCAAACATAGTTGTAGAACATTAAAATTAAGATGCCATGAAGTTCATCATTGCGAAGTATCACAAAGATACATTTCATTACTATTATATGATTATATAAAAGTTCTAGTATGCACGCTGTACTCTGATATTCATGGGACTTATGTAAAGTCCTGATTATATCTGCCCAGTGAATATCAGTTTATACTGTCATTTGCCAGAATGAGGCCATGTGCATCGGAACACCTGCTTGCTTTTCCTGCTTGACATGTCTAACACATAGCTTTCAGTGTCATATTTGATAATCACAGGTTCTTTTCTATAAACATTCCCATTAGTTTGGTGAGAACATAGAGATTTCTCCAACTTTTAACCAACTGTGTGGTTCTGAAGCCCTCCTGCAAAGTAGAGGTGGTTGGAAAACAATTGGAGAATAGTCAGGACAGTTAAGATTTTAAATGTGAAGAGGAGGAAGCTGAACATGTAGCACACCCTTAGTTGAATTAAGAAAGCATAACTTGTCACCAACTAACTGAACCCATAAGGACTTAATTCAGTTCAATATTTGATCATAATCCTGTTTAGATTTTGTACTGGAGCAGGTGAAGTCTTTATATATTACTCTTTCTTGTGAAACAACCTTATGCAAATTGATTTTTACTTTTTTGTGTGTGAATTGTACTGCCTTGAAGTACAGTTCCTTGAGACTGCATATTGGCTTCTAGTTTGTGCTTCTGAAGGAGATCTTGATTCAAAATGTAATGAAACATGGAGAAACGTTGTTGATGTGCTAGTGAGTTAAGGCATGTGCTCAAATGCCATGACGGGTTACATAACTCTATTCTAGCAACAGAGAATATTGTTTAGCCCTGAATGCCTCCTAGAAAACATAATTTGAAAATTAGAAACATATTTAGAAATTACAGAAAATACAAACATGATAAGTAGTACAGTCATGTTATCAGACTTCTTGACATGGAACAATATGATCTATGAGAAAGTTCTTGTATTTCAATGTGGATAACAACTGAAACTTAAACAGAAAGACACAGGGAATAAAACCTAGATGCAAGAATCTAAACAAAAATAGCTGGCATTATGGAAATACTGTGTTCATCTAAGATGACTTGAACTTGAGTCAGAGGACACAATCCATTTCTTTTAAATCCAGTTATATTCTTTGGGATAGTGGAATATTGAGAAAGAACATGGTATTAGATCTGTGCCTTGATGTAGAGGTGATGATTAAATTACTGGAAATCTCTGACTTTGTAATTATGCTGTAGATAACCAATATTATTAAGGGAGACCTACATCTGTATTTTTGTTAGAGTTCTCAGTACCCCTAGAAACCTTTGGGCTTCCCATGAGGTTTGAAGTCTTCAGTTGAGGGAACACTTCCAAGTTCCTGGACCTGTCACCATAGGCATCCCTTTCACCATCACTCCCCAGGGTATTTGCTCTCTTCCACATTAAGCTGGTAGCAGTTTGCTCCTTCATCCCTTGTTCTAGGCATTCATTTTAGTGTCTCATGATTTGGTAATGAAGAGGTCAGCTCAGGAACTTTAGAACACTTGTCCCTCCTGAAGAAAGAGGCTAATTAGCATTCCTCAGACCACAGGGGGAGGGAACCGACCTGCGGGTGGGGGAGGCCCAGAGTACATGGACACATCCCACAGAACGGACCGTTGGCCATCCAAAGACAAGGAAAGTCCCTGCTACCTCATTCCCTAAAGAGCAATCAGTTAAAAAGTCATTCTGTTCTGCTAATCATATTGTGCCTAGCTGCTGTTTCTCTATGCTACCCCTAGAATGCTACCCTAGAAACTGTATAAAAGTCCGCTGAACAAGCTATGAGGGGTCACCTCTCCTTTTGGATGCAGGATGACCCCAGCATGCTGGAACAATAAAATTCTTCTTGCTTTTTGCCATGATCCCCTGGCTCCATGTTGTTTACTCAGGGGTCTCCAGTAAACTAAGGTTCATCAAATTTTTATAGTAACAGAGAGAATATATTAACAGTCTCTTAGAGCATCAGCTAAAACTTTCATCAACTAAGTGTTTACCCATGTTTCTTTCTTATTCAGTTTTATAAGCAAAGGTCCCTTTCAAAATCCACAGTGTTAAAAGTTTTCACTTGCTATCTTTAAAATGTATGCTCATAGGAAATGGGCTTCAGGCAGGAATCTGACATTAGGCTAGAACAAAGAAGCAATTTCTGTCAGGAATCTACATCTTAGGCTAAAACAAAGAAATAATTTGAGATATGAATCTAAATCTTAGGCTAGAACAAAGAAGTAGGCTTCAGGCATAAAAATGACTCTGGGCTAGGACAGGGAAGTAGGCTCAGATATTTTGGTCATCCTGATAATCCCTTAGAAATAGTAATCACAGGACTTTGTTTATTTCCTTGTTTATATTTTGATTGTTTGTGTTCATTGTCTTGCTTGTTCATTGTAGACTATTTGCATCTATTTTATTGTTAGTCCTTAAACCTAAAACTGACCTTAATATTTGCATATAATTAAAATGGTATAAAAGCAAAAAGGAGGAGGAGCGATGGTATAAGGAGTTTATATGGGGGAATGGGGAAAATGGACAACATCTGAAATGTAAATAAACAAAATATCCAATTAAAAAAATAAAATGCATGCTCATAAAACATACAAGCAAACAAACAAAAAATAAAAACTCATAGTATTGTTCACAAGTTTTTTAAATATATCTCTCTCCTTGAATGAAGTTTATTCTTAACAAAAGAACAAACAAAAATAAATTAAACTTTATATCAGACCTTAAGTTTTGTCAGTTATAGAACTTTACTACTAGAATCAAATGAATTAATAGTAACCATCATCCCAAATATTAAACAAGTAACCTTAAGACATATAAATCACAGCACAGGGAAATGGCATGGAGGCAATACATACATGTTTTATAGTCTGTCAGTTAATGCCTTAAACACAGTATGCCCTCAATTAGGTTATTACTTTGCTGTAGTAAACACTAAAACAAAGGAGTATTTATTTGTTGCCAAATGCAATGATCCCATCCCGGTGATTTAAGGAGACATGACTACAGCCCATCATGAGGAACATTTATTTTTTACTGACTTGAAAAGTAGCTGGTATTCTTTCCGTGAGAGCCTCGTGGCATATGGCAAAGGAAGTGAGTAAAGAAAGGATTTGAGGAGGCAGTGACTACAATAGTCAGGCTCAGGAAAATAGTAAATTTTCCCTATGTGAAACAAGACGAATCTCTACCATTATAATGTGTAAATCAAGGAAATAAGTTTTCCCTGTAACTATTTTGTGCTAATTTATTCATTTTTCTTCAATGAAAGAATATCAATAACTATTGGCCTCCGTATTTAACCATTCTCACTAAGCCAGTTGAACTATCTTCCAAGCAATTTTCTATCCAGGTCTACAAGAAGCTATATGATTCTACAGTCTGAATAGAGTTCTGTGACAAGTGCATCAAAAGACAGTGACTGTCATTCTTTATTGAGGTCTATAAGAGCAATGCTCTGGTGACTCTACACTTACACTGGATGGGTTTATCTTTTCCTCTCCTAGGATACAATATACACACAGCGAACCTCCTGTATGTGCCAAATATATGATTAACAGTAAGCCATGCAAATGTTCTTGTTGCACCACTCTGGACCTTCTTCAGCCTATCTTTAGAATGTCTGATTTCTCTTCCTCAGTGCTACCTCCTGTGTCTGTTGTACAAAGTCATTATGGAGGCTGGAACTTTTATGTGCCTTGTGAAAATGTCTGCATCAGAAAGTCTTGAATTAATTTAGAGAACATTGATACGAGTTTTGGTTGAATTTGAGACATAGAAAACATTATCTGTCTTTTGGAATTTTCCTTTACTTACCGGAAAAAAAAAATGTCTGTCATAACAGACTGCTGTGAGATTTATCGGCCCGCCCTAAAAATTTACAAGATTAACTTTTCCCCTCAGGTACAAGAATGTCATATGTTATTTGGCCAACATAATTAATTTAATACTTTTCTAATAATATTGGTATGTCACTAAAGTAATCCACAGAGATTAAACTCACTTCTCTTCTTAAACCCCTGAAAGCATCTCTATGGTAACTGATCTATGCCAGCACCACCAGGACATAAAGCAAATTACAATAAATAATGAGATATCAGTGTGCATACATAACTGTGTTGCAGCACATCAATTAAATGCCTTCCTAAAAACTCAGACATTTGAAATGGTTTGAAACCCAAGTTTGTTTGTCCTATTTACAGCATCACAACTCTGCTGTGAAGAACATATTACTCAAACCTACAAAAAACTACTTTATTCTTTACAAGAAAATATTTCCCTTAAGGATACTTTTAAATGTTTTATAAAATGTCATAAAATCACTGACAAACATCGAAATTTGGTAGATTATAATAAATTATTTTTAAAATTGCTGCTATTATTGAAGAATTAATATATGTGTGTGTTTTATTAAGTATATAATGATAAACTGTTTTGTGCACAAAACCCCACTTTATTTTTTTTTATTAAACATCTAATTGTTTATGCTAAATTTTGAAGAGTTTTGTCATATAGATACTGTGTGAAGGATCCCCTAAATTTAAAGAATCAAATTATACAGTAATGTGTTTAAGTTTATAATAATTTATTATACATGTATATAATAGTTTTGTAATAATTTACACATACTCATTTATGCATACAATAACAATTTTGTTTTAGGGTTTAAGGCCAATAAAGAAAAAATATTTTGGTAAGAAGTTTTGCTTACCCTATTTCCATATACAATTCAACTGTCCATTTGTTAATTTGTTTGGCCTTTTTAAATGATTTATTGTACATTGTACATAGATTCTGGTTTCCATGGTAGCATGGCAGATGTTTAGTTAATGTTCCTTCATCTGTTTTTCTCCACACTGTCATATTCAGTCTCTACGTCTTGAGCCAAATACAGAACTGTGAAGGGAAACTTGTGGACTATGAACCTGTGACTTTATCCAGAAGGGGATATAGGAAATTACTCTGTGACTTGTTCTCAGATAGTGCAGATTAAGACATCAGGGTAGGTTGAATATGGTAAGGATTTAATTAATAGCAAAAATAACTAACATTAATTTGAGTTTCAATCTACTTTGATAAGATTGACAGGGGCTTTTATAGTGTTAGTTAAAGTATAACAATAATCATATATCTAAAGATTTCTTTAGAAGAACGTTTTTGAAGGTATACATATATCTTAAATGCCAAACTTTTCAATATCACTGAAATATGGTCATGTGATCATAGAAATAATCTCTAATGAACTATTATATAATTTCAATCAGGTAAGAGACCAAATACTAATCCTACCCCAAACTTTTGTTTTCTTATTGTGAAATCTTATTGAGAACTGGAACTCCACTGAACTCAGCCTGTTCTTTCATAACAATATACTCTCTAGATCAACACAACACTCATTGTATGCTTTCAAGAGTGAATACTGAAAGCTTCTGAGACATTGGCATTTATACCAAGATCAAAAGGACAAAGGTGGAATAAAGTTATATAATATGCTGTAAATTATGAATGCATTCCTGAGTGGGTGCTTTAACTGTGGCCAAACTGCAGTTCAAATATGAATACTTAAGCTCTATTGAAAACTGACTTCCTATATGCTGAAATACCTTTAACAACAGTATAGGAGAAATGCTGATGTCCAATGATGTATTTGTTCTTCTGTATCTTCCCAATTACATACCTGACTAATTCACACTCCCTCGGATCTACACACTACTCAGTAGTAAAAACGTTGTCTCTAATATAAGACCTTTAAACATGATAATAAATGTTAATACACTGTAGAAAGTCTGGACTAAGGTGGGCCTTGTTTCCTTTGAAAATTAAATTTAAAAAGTTTAACTTAGGTGTTATATTAATATTTGTCTGATTTTTAATGCCCAAGTTTCAATCATTTCAAAAATATACAAACATGAATAAACTGAGATGGATCAGTGAACAAAAGTTCTTTCTGTTGACATTGAATGACATTAATTCAGTCATTCAAGATCACCTGGTAGAAGGTGACAACTAACTCCCAGATGCTGTCCTCTGACTTGTACATGTGTGTTAGAGTATATCCCAACACACAAACACAAAATGAACACATTAAATACAATAACAATTTTAAAATACAAGGTTATAATAAATGCTAAAAATCTTCTAGGTACAATTGAATAAGTTAGAATGAATATATCATTGGAAAATTTAAGAATGTAAGCTTGATAAATAGTCTGGCCTGGAGATGGTTTGCATGCCCCCTCTGCTTCATCTTACACAAAGTGTGTGAAGTCATGTGATGCACACCTACGTATTCTTCCTCCTTTGCAAATCTCAAGCTGGGAAGTGAATTGAAAAGGCAGACACATCTGTTAAAAGAACATGTTCCTACCAGACTGTGAAAAGGCATTAAAAAATGCATAATTTTAGAAGTCAAAATACATTTCAAAAAGGTTATTTCTAACTAATAATGGTACTGAGAATCAGATGTCAACTACACAAAAGTGATCTATACCTGGCCCCATCTTTCAAGACTTCACAGATACTTGAAGAAAATGAAGGAAGGTAGAAGAATGAGAGATGGCAAGATGTTGAATTAAGTCCCTGTGATCAAGCAGAATTTCTAAACAGAGCACTGAAGTATAGATTTTGATATTTCCACAATACTAAAACAGTTGTTATAAAATTTTAATATGAATCAAAGTTCTGGAAGGCTTGATGAGAGACAGATCATTTCTCAAAGATCCAGGTTTTTTTTTTTCACAGTCTCACAGAAAAACTCAAAAGTGTACATTTCTAACAAGTTCCAAGTAATATGGTTGTTGCTCACATGGAGACCACTTTCTGAAATAAATACTCAAAATGATTTTGAACTGAGAAGCTGTAATTCTTGAGTTGCATTTAGAAACATAATCATTTCATTCAGTTAGTGAATTTACTTCTTAGATTGTAAAGTTTTAGGGATTCTTTTCTGTAGGTGCAATGTGCATGCAAATTCCTGTGTACGAATGAGGCTTAAGCATGTTATTACGAGCACATGGAGGTCAGAGGACAACCTTATATGTTATTCCTGGCCAAGGAGATTCTGTGGCTCACCTCTGCATGAGTCAGAAGATCTGTCCCACAGGCTTCTGGAGGTTCTCTGTGTCTTTGTTTTCCATCTCACTGGATGGACACTGGAAACACAGACTAGTCACTAGGCTTAACTGGATCCTGGAGATTTGAACTAAGGACCTCATGCTTGCACACAAGCTGTTTTCCGTATTAAACTATCTTCCTAGGTCTTAAAGAATTTGTCTTATTTGTTTTTATCTTGACTATTTAGTAGAATACACACATGTCTTAAACTGTTAAAATCTATTTTTCATTATCTTCAATATAGAATCTGACAGTATTCATTCTGATAGACATATTATATGTGATCAAAAAACCATAACTCACTCTTTTATGTTCCCTGTGTATTAGGTATAAGTTCCATATTGATACCATCATCCTTATGTATATTTGGATGTGAGGCATAAATGATATTATCCTACAGGAAGAATATAATACAATATTGTAGAGCAAAGGCAGGCAGACGAAAACTTTTATAACTCTGATTAGAGGATTTTAGAAACATGTAAAAAACTGCTTCTTTGGTATTGAGATGATGGAGCCTAGAGATGGCTCAAAGGTGAAAAGCACGTTGCTGGCTCAGAGTGCTTGAGTTTTGTTCACAGCACAGTTAGTAGTCCAAAACTGCCTGTTAATCCTGAATCTGGCATCTTCTTCTGAACTCGACAGGCACCAGGAATACATTTCTTGCACACATAAAAAAAAGTCAGGCAAAATACTCACACATAGAATAAAAAAAGATAAATCTACAAAGAGTATAGAGCTGGTTGTAAAAGCTTCAATTATGTTTTTTGAAACATGTTCCTCTGGCTCTTCCTTCTCCCTGTTTGAAAATCAATGTCCTATAAAATTGACAGGCTAGGATAATTGCCATTCTCATGAGAAAGGAACCAGAATTAATAATAATGATGGTTTGCTGTTGATTTTTAAAGGGGATAGTATATAGAAGAAGCAGTATTTAGGCATATTCCATATGATGTGCCTTATTCTAACAATGTTTCCAGCTGGTGGTCTGTCTTTCCTTAACTGTAAACACTCAGTGATTCACCGAGGCTGCAGAGAATAATCCATGATCTACAGGAGAGAACAACTGTAGCCAGAATTTACCATGACATTACTGAATGCAGGTATATCTTACAAATTTAAATGGGGATGGGAATAGTCCAAAGAGCATAGAGACAGTATTCATGTGAAAACCTCAGAACTTTCAAAAAGGACATAGTAGAGTGGTGTCCAAATGTAAATATGAATATTTGGGACCAAAAAGAAAAAAACAAAGCAAACCAAGAAAACTATGAGTAAAATTTTGAATTCAGATCTCTCAGTAGAGCCAGCAGAGTGAAATGGATGAGGTTAAAAACTATAAGAAATTAAAATAAGGGTTATGGGATTTTTCTGATCCTAAAATTCTTCAGTTTATCTCTATCAGTAAGTAATATCGCATAAAAAATCCTCATTCATATCTATGTATGCAATAACACTATTATAATATAGGCCATGAGTTTGACATTGAGCAAGGATGGATATATGCAAGGATTTGGGGGAGGAAAATAAAGAGGACAATGATGTAATTATATTAATATAAAAACGAAAAGATGTGCTTTTCAAAGATCCCATTTCAGATTGCTGTGTTGGAGATTTTGGTTTTTAAAGAGCAAACTTCACTGTAAATCTTTTGACATTTTGACGTGATACAACATTCATAATGTTGGCCGTGAACAATGGTTTCCACTCCAAATCTTGTTAGTAGTTTTTAATGCAAAAAGAAAATCTAAAGTCTAACAAGTTTCAGTGTCTCACAGAGAGAGATGATGAGTTTATTTTTAAAAGCTGTTGAGGAAAGAAACAAACAAGACAGATCATGAATAATGGTAAGAAATGATTTTTGAATGTACAAAAGAATGCTTTCAAATGTCTTCCATCCTGAGAATCCTGTAGCTGATTTATTTTCTTAATCACCAGGGCGAATCAGCTAGCCATAGAGACTAGGTGGATAGAAATTGGAACAGAGCTTCAGGGCAGACCAGCTTCTGCCTGCTTTGTGCCCAGAAGTAAAGTTGAATGTACTAACTTAAACATGGAAACAATGCTTTGCTGATCCTCTCAGTGTAATCCAAAGTCTATTGACTTTGTGTGATGCATAATTTGGTGATTATTGTGCTTGCTATTTGTTCTGCATCTCTTTAAAATGACTATTTTAAGTGAAAATAATTACTAAAATAGAATTTATATGTGACTGTTTTCTCACTTTGCTGTTCAAAGGAAATTTTACCATCTCCTAAACTACTTTAAAGATGCCAATAATGTAAGAAAGTAATATTCTATTTCTGAATAATTTCCTAATTAACTCTGTATTTAAAATTTTTTACCTGCTTTCTTTTCTCCTCTCAAACAGTTTAAACCTTATGTCTTCTTCTCACATTATAATCTGTATGAGTCAAGGAGCCACAGAGAGTGCCAGCCATGAAAAGAAACACTAATTAGAAAGAAGTGGAGGTGATATTTTGAAGAAAGAGACACATTAGGTGAGGGAGTTAGGACTTCACGGCTCAGCTCTTCTGCAAAAGAAAAGTCTGAAGTGAGTTTTCATATTTCAAAGTGTTCAATAGTCAGAATCAACTGCCAGAAATATTAACAAATTTGACTCATATCACTCACGAGGATAACAAGGTCGATTTAATCCTTATCTGTTGCTATGTTTAAGTAATAAGTGCACAACTGGTGGGAGCAAGAGGTTAACTGACTCACTAATGGAAAGAATATGAGACTTTAGAAAACAAAGTCAATTTCTAAACAATATTTATTAAACCTAGCCTTAAACTGTGAAACACTGCCGATTAAGATAGATAAACGGATGAATGGATGGATGGATGGATGGATGGATGGATGGATGGATGGATGGATGGGTGTGTGTGAGTATATTTGGATGGGTAGATGAATGGATGAGTAGATGGGTGGATAGATGGAAGGATAGACAGACAGAAAGGCAGGCAGACAGAGAGAGGTTGTTTTGCTCTCAAAATATCACAGATTGAAAAATCCATGGTATTTTGGAGTTGTCTCTGAAGATCCTGGTGACCTGTAAAAAATTTATCTCCATCTCTTCCAACTTTTTTGTGTTTTACAACCTAAAAAATACTCATTTATGACTAGTGTGCTGAGATTAATGCCATCCCATCCCTCTGATTGTTTCTTGGCAAACCCTAGTTCTCTGCTACAGTCCAGCTACTTTAACCTACTTGAAGAATCTTACTGGAAATTATGGTAAGTAAAATTTTCTTACTGAGTAGTATCAGCTATTCAGAAATTCCGTCAACAAGCAGTTGGTGTGCTTCTAGTTTGTACCAAGTGAATAGTTATTTATCAATTAAATTCACCTGACTCATGACCTAATGCTCCAGTTAGGAGCAAACAATGTTATCATTAATATATTCAAAATGCTACAGGAAAACAGTAAAGAAAACAGGTAACTCTCCCCCTGAGAGTTGAAGCTAACAAAGTGTAATTATTCTCACCTGCTCTAAGGGCACAGGATTTCACATATTTATAAATGATAAAAATTCTTCAATTGAAGAGGTTCACATTTTTTATGTCGTTGTCCAAAGAGAGTGATGTGTACAAGATTCTCTGTTTATTCCTGTATCTGATGCAGGGCTTAAATGAGACTAAACCCCAAATACTGATTGTGTTCTTATCTGGTAAATGGATGAGGTGATAACTGGCATTAGGACGAGTTTACAATAATACTGTACAGTACAAAGGCACCCTACCATAATTTGGTTGATTAGAAAACCCAAATTACTAAAATATTCCACTCCAAAATCAATCTGTTACTAATCTTGTTTTCCACAGTGCTGGGTGGTTTATAGCATTTATAGAAGGCCATAAACCATATCAGTGATTATGAACATTCATAATTTAATAAGTAGTCAGTTACATTTTAAAACACATTGTTTTAAATTGCAACACTAGTTAATAAATTTGGAACTCTTTTCTGCATAATTGATCCCTTATATTTTTTTTAAATTTTTTTATTGGATGTTTTCTTTACATTTCATGTTGCCCCCTTACCCCATCCCCCACCCACCTAGGAACCCCCTATCCCCTCACCCCTCCTCCTTCTTCTCTGTGGATGTAACCCCTACCTACCCGCCACTCCCACCTCCCCACCCTCAAAATTCCCACCCCCTGGGGCATCCAGCCTTCATGAGGTCAAGGATCTCTTCTTCCACCTATGCCCAGCAGGGCCCTCCACTCTTACTTATTCAGCTGAAGCCCTGGATCCCTCCCTAAGTGCTCCCATGTTGGTGGTTTAGACCCTGGGGGCTGTGGTTGGTTGGTATTGTTGCTCTCCTCATGGTGCTGCAAACCCTTTTAGCTCCTTCAGTCTTCACTCTAACTCCTCCATTGAGAACCCCGTTATCAGTTCAATGGCTAGTTTTGAGCATCTGCCTCTGAATATGTCAGACTCTTGAAGACCTCTGAGGAGACATCCATATCAGGCTCTTATCAGCATGCACTTCCTGACTTCCACATCAGCATCTACCTTTGGTGACTGCACATGGGATGGATACTCAGGTGGAGTGGTCTTCAGATGGCCCCTCCTTCAGTTTCTCTCCCTCACTTTGTCTCCATATTTGCTCCCTTGAGTATTTTGTTGCTCCTTCTAAGAAGGACCGAATCACCCCCATTTGGTCTTCCTTCTTCATGAGCTTCATGTGGCCTGTGAGTTGAATCTTGGGCATTTCAAGGTTCTGGGCTAATATCCAATAATCAGTGAGTGTATACCATGTGTGTTCTGAAACCCAGATGTCCTTCAACTGAGGAATGGATTCAAAAAATGTGGTACATTTACACAATGGAGTATTACTCAGCTATTAAAAACAATGAATTCGAGAGTTTCCTAGGTAAATAGATGGAACTAGAAATTATCATCCTGAGTGAAGTAAGCCAATCACAAAAGATCCCTTATATTTTAAACAAAAACTTTATTTGAACACCTTAAATGAATGCAGATGACAACTTGGTAAAATACCTTCATATATAACATTTACACACTCATGGAGTTATAAATATTTATGTCTAAGTATAGGATATATTTAAAAAAAACTCTCTCCCCTTGTACAACTTTAGAGATTGTAAAATGATAATCTTGTTTAATTAGAAAAGAAACAAAAAGTTTTTGTTGCTGTTGCTAATTTTTGTTATTATTTATGTATCCATTCATTTTACATCTCAACTGGAGTTCCCCCTTCCTCCTCTCTTCCCAATCCCTATCCACATCTCATATCTCTCCTCTTCTCTTCCTTCCCCCATGCACTCCTTCTCTGCTTCTCTTCAGAAAAGAGCAGGTCTCCCATGAATATCGATCAACCAAGGCATATCAATTTGGTGTAAAACTAGACACCTCCTCATCTATTAAAACAAGACAAGGCAACGCAGTAGGGAAAAAAAAGGGTCCTAAATGCAGGCAACAGAGTCACAGACAGCCCTGCTGTGATGGTTAGGAGAATTCAAATAAACTATATTTTAACCAACTAAATAATCCAGTTGAACAGAAGGTACAGAGAACTCTCAGCAGAGGGATCTCAAATGGCGAAGAAGCGCTTTAAAAAAATGTTCCATATCCTTAGCCATCAGGGAAATGCAAATCTAAATGACTTTGAGATTCTATTTTACACCTGTCAGAATTGCTTTGATCAAAAGCAGAAGTGACAGCTCATGCTGGTGAGGATGTGGAGTAGAGGGAACACTCCTCCATTGCTGGTGGGAGTGCAAACGAGTACAGCCACTTCAAAAATCAATATGGCAGTGTCTCTGAAGATTAGTAAACTTTTTTCATAAACAATAACTTACTATACTATTCTTGGGTGTCGTGGTTAGGGTAGTATTTTAGAGATATAAATATTTTTTGAGGCCATGGTTGGCTCAGTGATACATTGCTTATCTTACAAGTATCAGGACCAGAGTTCAGATTTCCAAAGACCATCTAAACCAAGCTGCTTAGTAATGATCTGTATTAACAACATCTTGGTACATAGACTACAAGCAAGATAGCTAACTAGACTGTGTAGAATGTGTCCGTTCTGGCTTCAGTGAGTGACTATGCCTTAATGAATAAGGTTAAGAGAGACTCCATAAAGGTCAACGTCAACTTTAGGTTTCCACAGGTATGTATATTTAAACAAATATACATACCACCACACACAGGTAGACAAAAAACCACCTACATTTGTACAGGCATGTACAACACATACACACACACACACACACCACATACACACCACACACACACACACACACACACCACTTTGCAAAGCCATAGAAGTATTTACTCACTGACTGAAAATCAGTTTTCTATTTAGTATAAAAAAGAGTATAAGTGAGACTTGAACCATTTTGAACACACTTCTATTTCTAAAGGAAGTACATAAACTAAGCATATGCAAATGACTTTAAATGAAAAAAGAAATGATACAGCTTTAAGTACTCAATTATTTGTGTAGCTGATTGGAGAATGGCAAAATTGGGACATATTAATCCCACAGAGATGACTCCACTTCAAAAAAATTCAGAGGGAGGGGTAAGTAAAAGCAATTATTTTAAATATCATTCATTCCTAATCCAGCTAAAAATGATTAAATTTAAAGGACCCTCCATCACTTCATGCAAGGGTCCTCTTTATTTATGCTGTAAATAGAAATATCAAAAATAAACATTAGATTCTTTGGATATATATTTAAGATAGACTCGCAATGATTTGTTTTGAGGATATAGAAGTAAATAGAGACTTCTTTTATTTTTTAAATAAAATTTAAAAACAAGCTTACTGCAATTTTTCTGAAAATGTTTGACCTAGTAGACATCAGAAGAATGGTCGAACATAGCATTTTCTTATAGAAAAACAACAACAACAAAAATCAAATTAGTACCTTCATGGGTGTGCCTGACAGCAGTAAAATTAAGATTTCCAAATATATAAACAGACTACTTAGCAATGTCAGAAAAAGTTTGAAATTTTCATTAGTAGAAATAAATGCTGATCTTCTCTCATGAGTTTATCTTATATTATATGAAACTTAATAAAACTAAATTTATGTTTAGAAATTGAATGAAAAAGTTAATGTACAGATTTATAGTGATGGTACAGGATATTGGGTTGTACCAGGTAGTTTTAGTATATTGATTGAGTGCAGTAGTTTACTCTTCCATGAACCTTGTGCGGGGATTCCTAGGCATATCTCTCAATTTCAATATGCTGGAGCAGGCCTTCATTGTCCATCCAAGATGAAGACAGGCTGAAATTCAAAGACTTCCTCAGTTTTCCACTGCTGATATAAGAATGTACTATATCATTTCTTTCAGCTTTTCTCCCTGTTGTTTTGTTGTTTTGTTTTTGTTTTTGTTTTTGACCACATATCACACCAAGTTCAACTTAAACTGTCCCCGGCTCATTGTAATCCTGGCTTCCCGAGTACCGTGACTACCTTAGTTTAACTATTTTATTTTTATTTGTACATTTGAGGGGGCGGGTATTGCTTGTCTGCTAAGCACAAGTGTGGAGATCATAGGACAACTTGAAGAAAGTGGTTGTCTCCCTCCACCATGGTGTTCCTGGAAATTGAACTGAGGTTGTCAAGCATGGTTTCTTGACAGCAGGGGCATTTCCTTTCAGAGACATCTCACAGGCCTTGTGAACTAAAGGCTTGACTTCATTCACTCCCACTGGTTATTTGGCCAGCCACACTGCCATGATGTCCTCAAAACCTTCCTCTTCTCTCCTCAGGATCTCCACAACAGCCTTGACTCCGCTCATGCCCTTGACTTGCATCCTATGCTGTTTCATTTCTCACAACCACCTGTTAAACAAGGGAGAGCTTTCAGCATCCGTTCCCATACCAAAACTTTACATTTTTCATTAGTTTATTGGATTCTAGTTTATTCACAGCAGTAGCTGTCATGTGAAATCAGGCTCTGTTTGTTGTTCTGTGGGGTCACTATCTGGCTTGTTCTAGAAGCAGGTAACTTTTGGAAGAAACCACATGATATGGACATAATCTGATCACTTCATACATAGTGTTTAGAACAGTGCTTGCCACCAATATGTGTGTGTGTGCTTCCCTGTGTGTGTAAGATCTGTGCATGTGTGTATGTGCACTTGTACGTGTGGAGTGTGTAAGTGCTTCTTATATGTGGTATATATGTGTGTTTGTGTGGTATGTGCGTGTGTGTGTGCTTGTAAGTGGTGTGTGTATGAGTCTTGTACGTGGTATGTGTATGTGTGTGTATGCATGTGTTTATGCACGTTTGTGTGTGTGTGTGTGTGTGTGTGTGTGTGTACATGCATGAGCATGCACATACACCAGTTTCACTGGTTAATCAATGCATTGGTTAAAGTCAGGAAGCTAAGGCAAGGTAAAAAGGGTAGCAGGCAGGAAGTCCTGTACTTTCTAGATTTTTTTTTTCAAGAGATAAGTCCAGAGAATGAAGCTGGTCTCTCTGGAGAAAGAGAGAGAGCTATCATGCCTTCCTAACAGACTTTACTCTAACAGCTGTGCATCTTGAAATGGGAATTGCGATAGTTAGGGTATGCTATTCTGGATGTGAAAGTACAGCCTGCGAAATGACTCAAATAGCGTGTGCATGAAACCATGGAGAGCTGATCCTAGTCACAGCCCCTCACTGTGGCCTCATTTCCATTTCCTTTGATGAGAATCTGTCTGAGAGGCACTAAAAGTGGGTGTGCTGTGGACAGCTATTTCCATGCCTCAAGCAGTAAAACAGTGGGGCTGGCAAATGTGGACAGAAGTAATGTAAAACACTTCAGCCTGAGCTGCCTCTTTGTGATTCTAATGACTGTTCATGTTACTTAGATGACTTCAGAGAGGATTGCATCCATCTCAAGTCAAAAACTACATTGGCAGAAATCAATCACGCATAATCATAATCGACACGAAGCTTGGCCCTGGGTGAATTGTCATCAGTTTACATCCAGGGCAATAAAAACAAAACAAAACACAAAGACACACAAAAAAGTCAAAACAAAACCTCACAACCCATTAAAAGTAACTGAAAGGCAGTATTGTCTGTATTACATTGAGTATGCTCAGATATGTATTATGGTCATGTAGATTTTGTACAAGTTTTAGAGGTTTCTGTAGTCTCACACATTTTAATGACTCAGTACTTTTAACAGATACAATTGAAAAATATATTTTATTACCTTGATTGTTTTTCTCAACCTATCACAAAGCGGTAAGCAACAGCCTTCCATGGGCCAGGTCATGATAATTCTGAATATATAAACAGAAGGAAATGCCTTTCCTGCTTTTGACCCCCCACAGCCTCCTCACCTCCCTTGAATCTGTGCCAATTCCTTTCCTTAGGTTTAGAGGGAGGTAGCTATCTTTTATTATAATACAATTGATGGAACGGCTACCAGGCAAGGAAAATGCTGTATTTTATACTTCAGCAACCTCAGAACAGTACACTCACAGGGGTGCCATTAGGCAGTTTTCTCTCCTGTAAGAGTATGTGGTTGGGCTCTGAGGTAGAGAACAGACAGTCCTCAGAAGGGTGATTTCCCTGTGTGCTCACCGAGGCTCAAATTCCCAGCTGTAACTGAACTAAGTCAGAGGTTCATAAAAGCTAGTACTCAGGCCTCTGTGAAGACTTGTCAAGAATAAGAATGAACAGAAATGGATGATAATAAGATCAAACGACTTCATGGATGCACCTTTATTTTAAGGTCTTATAATTCTTAGAATGTTCTCTTACAAAGATTGTCATTGTATAATCTGAGGACAATAGTAAGAGGTAGATATTCGTCTATGCTTAATTTTAACAAGTGTGCATATGTGTAGATGTGTGTGTATATGTGTGTTCATATGCATGTGTGTGCACAAGCTTTAATATATGGATTGTATAATAACCTTGGGTACCATTTTTCAGGAACCATTCATCTTTTCCTTGAGATGAGATGTCTTCTTTCTCTCTCTCTCTCTCTCTCTCTCTCTCTCTCTCTCTCTCTCTCTCTCTCTCTCCCCCCACCCCCAGAACTCAGCCAGTTAGCTCCAGGTTCCACCTGGTTCTGCACGCCAGCTCAGGGAATAGAATAACTCCCCATGATTCAAGGCTTTTTAAATGTGACTTCTGAGGATTAGATTCTGGTCCTCATGTATGTGTGTAAGCCAGGTTACCAAATAAATCATTCCTTACCCATAAATGTGGTTTTTTAAATGTCCTCAGTGTCTTTCTAACACATGAGTATTTTCTATTTTTAATCTTTATTTGTGTTGCAATTATACTAAGCATCACGATCCAAAGTGCATCTAGTTCCGTCTGTATGACAGGCATGGTTTACTTATAAAATACTTTTCTACCATCCTGTCTAAGACCTTCAGTTCACGTCACCCCACTCGTTTGTAATAAATGAGTTTAAATGGGAGATTTTAACCTTTCCAACAAAAACCTGACTTCTGCATAACTCCCACATTTCCTTGTCTCTCTATTAAAATAAGGAACATGCATTCTTTAATCTAGTTAGATCTTTATGAGATAGTTTGGTTTCAAATGCCAGAGAAAAGGTGGTTGTCTAAAATTCTGCTCTGACTCATCATAAGCACTGCAGAATGGAGAACCATGCCTGACTAGGATAGGGAATGTGTTGTTTTGTCCCCAGATTAATCTCTCTGACACCGAAAAGGAATGGGAAGCCTGTAAATTCAGGGTTTATCTCCATCCCCAAATCTAAAGTGGCGTGAAACCATGTCTACTTACAATCTGCGTCACTGTGTCCTGTGCAACTGTGTTATCAACACCCACCAGGGGTCTGGTATGGGATTCACCTTCTGAAGGAGGTAGAAAGAGTCATATGCTAAGTCCTCATGGCCACCAATTGTTGGCATGGTCTTTGCAGCATATGAAATGCAATACTTTTTCTTCATGATTTTGGTGTCAGAGCCTGTCCTGTGAATTTTGTGAGTGCCCAGAACACTCTTTTTTATTTGGATTGCCTCAGTACTTGGCATAGACCTTGGAGGGATATTTTATTAGGGTCATGTGTATGTAGAAATAACTTGAGTGCTTTAGGTTTTTCTAGCGCTTTCAACACTTGAGCTCCAAGGCATTCTCTGGCTCTAGGGAGCTAAAGTTCCTGGGTCTAATTCACATGCTTATGGAGTCAGTTTACTTACAATGATATTTTATAAAGAAGCTTGTGATGCCCTTTATCCCCTAAATACAGACTGCTTACACACACACATACACACACACACAGAGAGAGAGAGAGAGAGAGAGAGAGAGAGAGAGAGAGAGAGAGAGAGACTGAGATTTTATTAATGCAGATCATCTAAAGAAGTATATAGTCAAACATGTTGGACTTTGCTATTAGGGATATGTTGAAATGCTGTATCTAATTCCCATTGAGGAATTGTTAAAACTATTATTTGATAATTTGTTAGATTTGATTTGAAGAGAATTTTCAGATTGTAATACTCAAAATCAAAATAAAAGAAATTTTTGAGTTTGGTATTTTTTCAGTATTTCTTTAAACGTATTCTTTGAACCATACCTATTTATATGAATTCTATCTGAATACTATCATTCAGAAGTCAAGTTCTCCACAAGTGCTTTTTCCCAAACTGTAGTGTTTCATAAGATCTGAATGAAAAAGGTAATGCATTTATAAAAGCAATGTATAGTAGCTGGTAAAACATATAGTGAGTGACAGATATTTGTCATTAATAACAATACCTTATGGTTCAATGTGACATAAATATGTGTTGAAGAGCATCACTATAAAAGTAAAATGAAGAATAAGGCTTGATACAATCCTAGATGTTTTTCTGAGACATTAAAAAACTTAATTAGTATAGTCATTATAAAACATAAAAGGAAATTGAATATTTGTATTTTAATAACTATTGTATACTATTCCTGGTATTTACACATCATAGTCTTACCTTTTAAATTATAAGACACTTCCAAATAGATGATTCTCTTCAAAAGAAACTGAAGCTCAGAGACTTCATTTTCCTTGCCAAGAAAGTAGCAAACACAGGATGTATGTAGTGCCAGGCTTTGCAAAACCTCTACCACTTTGTTGGGTTCTGAGGAATAGATGGAATCTGAAAAAAAAAAAAGAGGCAAAGCTATGATTTAAGAGAAGCATTTTAAAATGATAAAGAAACAGAATGCCAGGAGTAGTAAAGCTTGAATTCAAATCCGCAATGCTGACAAATGTGAAAGAGAAAACACCTTTGTGTAAACCGTAGAGCTAAATACTGAGCCCTACAGACTGAAGGCCATATGGGCACTGTTCATGAACTTGACTAGTAGACATATCTGAATTCTTGCTGATTTTAAGAAGGCCTTGTTTATGTAGCAGTTTGTGTGTTTATCCCATGGCATGTAGTGTTAGGAGCTAAAAGCTCAGGGTATTCTGGTCACCGAGCTACGAAACATCGGTAGCATTTCTGAATGAGGAAATAAATTCAGCAGAAAATATACTCAAAATATCCAGGTAAGAGTTCAAAATCAACTTACCTGCAGTTGCCTTGATTCTGCCAAGAGATGCTTTGATTCCAAATGAAATGTTTTCAACAATTTCAACTTTGTCTCTTTATGTTATTGTTAGATATTAAGATAGGAAGAAATCAAGAGACAGGTAATCTCAGTGGTGGAAACAGTGTCTCTGTAAGAAATAAGAAGGTCATGCAAGACAGGAGAAAGGCAGCTTGGTTTTGTGATGGCTCCAGAATGGAGGGAAAAAAGAGGTTGAAAGGTTGATGTCTAGAGGCTAAAAGTTGTCCTCGGAGACAGGAAGGAAGGACCTTACTCACCTTCATGTCCTTACCCGTCTCTCCTTACTGCCAGGGACAGAGCCTTTAAGGCAGCCATGCATGGCTTGGCTGACCCTGTCACTGCTACTATGCCAGCCAGAAATAGTCATCAACTCTAACCCATTAACATCAGTTTTAGTTACTTGATGCCCCCCATACCCTCTGCAGCAGATTGTGGAGAAATTGTGGCTGCTTAACAGAATGTGAACAGAGAGCACAGAGAGGAAAATCATTAAATTAGAACTCTCTCTCTTCCCACTAGGTCATAAATAAAGGGAATTTTTCTCACCTCATAGATTTGAGTCTTAATCTTGTGATTGTTCAGTGAGTCTACTCACTGAACCAGAGCTGTGCCATGTACACTTTGACCTAAGAGAAGGTGTTTAAAAGTTCATTTCTTTTTGCCACATGGATTCTGTACTGCATGTCCAAAAAAAATTGGTGGGCCAGAGCACCAACGATTTGATGAGATCAAACAGATCAAATTTCTACAGATTCTTTTGCAGAATGCAGTGACTACCTAACTCAGTGCCTCTCAAAATTTACCGTGTCTATGACGCCTGCAGACACCTTATAGAGTTGACAGGATGTTGGAGACGCATCTAGTATTTGCATTTATAACAAGCTTGTAAATGATAGCCAATGTGCTTCTTTTTAGAGAAGAGTTTTATTTGCAATGTGTGAGAGATTGGCTCTACTTAATTAACTAGTTTTCTATTAATGTGCTTGTCTGTTCTAAGAATTGGATTAACACACAGGAAGTCTTGTGTTGGTAGTCCATGCCCTCTAAAGTTGCATCACAGAACAGCCTACCATAGTTCTTTTTGGACTTTCTTTACAGTTCAACATCTTGAGTGCACACTACCTAACTAGAGCTGATTTTCACATCTAATCCCAGCCTGCTCTGTTCAGTAGTATAACGTTGCATCTTTCATATGGTTGGAGATGGAATATTTACTGCATGGAAATCACCAAATGCTACCATTTAACATGGTGGGGAGACAGCCTCCCTACTTATCCTGTAGTACATATTTCTTCTAATTGTTTAGGAATTCAAGAAAGTTTCCCAGTACATTTAATTTCTCCACCATGGTGTTAACTTTCATTTGAAAGACAAAAATCTCCAAGTTTTCCAGCAGAATATATATTCTAAAGCACTTCACCTGAATTCTATCCTAAGGGATGTGCTTTCTCTCTGGAATAAAATCTGGGTTATTCACATTCAAAAAAGTGTCTAAGCAATATAGTGAAGTATTAGGAATGAAGCAGAATTTTGAACCTCAACTAGAGTAGGACCCAATGTACTCATGGATCAGTTATTTTTACTGTATGCAGTGAGGGCATTTGCAATGTTCAACTTATTATCTCAAAGATAGATACAGTGGTCATATTGGCAGAACATAGAATTTCAACGTGGAAAGATGTATTGAGCTAAACAGGCAATTTAAAAAGGTGTATAGGATTTCGACTCATTTAGCATGTTGAGATGTATTATGTGACCTGGCTCGAGCTTTCATGTTGATTTGTGGTTTAGCATTCTGCCAAGTTGCACAGAGTTTGTAATACAGTGAATACATGGTACTTAGCTATGCGGAGAAAAGAAAATAACACGAAAGAAAAGGGAGATGATCGCTAGGCTAAGAAGCTGGGATGACAACTTGCTGAAACTAACTGAAAACTAAATGTCATCATAGCTGACACCAAGGAATTAGAGAGACACTGCATCCACGGATCTGGGGGACACTGCAGTGATCTGGAGGACACTCTAGTCAAAGAACTGGGGAACACTGCAGCCAAAATACTGAGAAACACTGCACTCCCAGATAGAGAGCGAAACTACAAAAGTCCCTTGAATACTGTAGAAATGGGTTTGGAGTGGAGTAATGAACTTTAATGAATATTTCTTAACCCTTTATCCTCTAACTGCCTGAATAGATGTTCTTAGTGCAGTTACTCCAAGAAAAACAACAGGGGCCATGGAGATGAAAATGAAGACCATCATTAATTAGTAATTAAATACTGTACTCTTAAATTTGGCTGTGAATTTGAGATATGTGTGAGTACAAAAAAATAGCAAGACAATAATAAATTTACAGAGTGTTACAGTCTCCTCTGAAAAAAAAGACATAATTTTATTATCATGATTAGTTCCTTATCATGATTAGTCACTTTATCCAAAAGGCTAAAAAAAAAATTAGTTTGAGTACTACTAATAGAAGATTAAATAGAATTTTGAAATCCAGTTTTAGGCTAGCTAAGCCATCTCAGTGTATGCTAGGCACTCTATCCGAAAATAATAATTCATAAGCTCTTTGCAAGTTTCAATGGAGAAAAAACATAAACATCATGCAAAAGCCCCTTAGCACACACATACGCAATGAATATTATAGTGCTGTGATTGGCCGTCCATTGTTTTTTCTTTCACATGCATCTAGCAGCATATACAGTTTTCAGACTGTTAGAAAAGACATCAAACCACAACAGAATAAACTGTTGAGAGAGGGGGAAGGTTGCCATGTTTAGTGTGGGCTCTGACACTCATTAGCCATGGAGAGACTTTTATAAATTATTTAAATCACCTGAGTTTCTGTCTCTTAATATGTAAAATAGAGGCATTTCTATTAAAACATCATTATGGTTCTGAAAAATTCCATTATGGTTTTTATTAACTAACTTAAAAATTATATATGTGTGTGTGTGTGTGTGTGTGTGTGTGTATACTTCTATAGCCAATGTAACACTACCCTGAGGTTGTCTACAAAGCTGATACTGTAGCCTCTATTTCCAGTTTCCACCATCTTTGGGTCATATAGAATGTCAACCCTTGTAGAATAGTAATGACACGAACGACAATCATGACAGGATAGGAGCTGCATCAAATATCTCACTGCAAATAAAGGGACAGGAGATATAATGGTTAGTTATCTATTCATAGACTTTTTAAAAAAGAAGTTCACTCTATGCTGAGAAAAACAGACATGTCAAACTGAAACTCACATCCTCAGTTCTCATTGTCTGAAACAGGAATTTACTTTGACAATGAAGGTAAAATCCTATATTTCCATTGCTATTATAAATTAATGAAAGATGCCAATAAAACACTTCTATATGAATTGGATCATTCATTTTCAATGAGGGAAGGGAACATTTTGTCTCATTAGGGGTATTTTAAAATAGTGGTGACATTTTTGGGTTTCACCTATGGGTGGGAAGGTGGTACTGGTAGCTGTTTCTCTTAGTGTAGTTAAAGTCCTACAGGGCATAGGATATACCCCTGCTATGAAATGATAATGAAGAATTATTATTTCAAATATGTCAATAATGCCAATATTGAGAGACCCTGAATTACAAACCTTCTCCAAAAGTCACCTTTCCCTAAGTGATACTTCAAAGGACTGAACTCTTTTTGACTCTGCATCCCAGGAAAGGCACAGATATAAGATGGAGTGATAAAGAGAGAAGGAGATGTATGAAGTGACATCTTAAAACCAATTTCTGTGTCTCCAATCATGTTTTTCCCCAAGGTTCACAATAATGTGGCAGGAAAGGGAAGAGACTAGAATCAAATGTGATGTTTTAGAGAAACAAAAACAGAAAGCAGTGCTCTACCCAACTCTTAATCATTGAATCGGGGAATTAGGATGAGGAGTCAAGTTTCAGCATTTAAAAAAAAATCCATAGAAGTATAATTCACAAAAAGGTGTTCAAAAATAATTGAAGTCAAAACACATTGGCCCTGGTTTTTTAAGGCTCTGTACAGAAGGACCATTACATATCCAGAGGATGACAGGTACCAACATCTTCTCTAAGTATGGTCCTTACAGAACTACTGAGAATAAGAATTAAAGAATAAAGATCCTGTGACCTAGTTATTAAGTAAACTAAAACCATTTGTACTTGCAAGATGAATATTAACTCAGCATCTCTCAGGTCTGTGTTTTAAGTATACCAAGAACTGAAGGGCAAAACAATCAAACAAACAAAACCAAAACTGGAAAAAAAAATAAATAAACAGACTTTGAGAATATTCACGGAATTAAGGACTTTAAATCTCTATATCAATCTGTAATATTACAAAAGTCTGATGAGATAACTGATTTTGAAAAAGAAAAAGAAAACCTTTGGGAGCTATTTGTTTTAAGTCGGCAACTGTAATAATTTCCAACTTTATCCCTTGGTCCTTGTGATGGTTTTCATATGCTCAGCCCAGGGATTGGCTCCATTAGAAGGTGTGGACTTGTTGGAGTAGGTGTGGCCTTTGATGGATT